TCAATGTCCTGTCAAAATACATTTTACCTGGGGACTAGAATGTCCGTCTGTTACTCATGTGCAAAAGGTATCAGTGTTAAGTAGATTTACCATGGAGTAGTGGAAAGGACCTATTGTTGGAAAAACACAAAGACCTTTTTTCCATTTGCACGTTATGTGCTTGGCGCTTTTAGATATTTGTCTAGAGATACACCGTGACATGAAGGGTAGTTGTGAGTGTTTTTTACAAATGACCTTCTCATTGCAACCTACCTGAGAAGGCGCTCTTTTGAGGCAGTTATTTTGGAAGTCTCTTTGTGCCTACTCTTTGTTAGTGAACTTCCTCAAAAATGGCCACTTTAACTCCGTCGTCACTGATGTGACGTCACTTTTATTCTTCCGTGTATTCGTGCTCCTCTTTCTCCTTATTTAACGAAAGTTGACTTTGCTACATAAATATAAAAATGCATGAATATGTGGGGCTGCCCATCTCGTAGCGGAACAATGTACATTTCATTTTTGTCCTGCTGTTCACTAGAGGGCCCTCGCAGGCAGCCCCATAGCAACAAGTGGAATGTGATGAAATAGAACTGACAAAGACAAGACAGCCTGAAATGGCCATTTCTGTCTTGTTAGTCAACAGCAGCCAATTATACCCTAATCTCAGGCGTAGGTCAACTGGAATTCGAACCTGAGACATTGGTCATGGAGCACATATTGTATCCTTCTAATCACTAGGCGGCTGAGGGTTCTATACTGAGTCCCAGGGCAGAAACTGAACGTTAATTGACACCTTACTAGATCGGCAAGCCTCAAACGCACATACATCTCCCGATCTCAGTCGACAAAGCAACTAGCCCGTGGTGCAATGGTGCAGTTTTAAACTCAATGACAAAAGTCCCGGATTAGAATCCTGGGTGATACACACCTGGGAAGTGGCTATCCCGGTCTCCCTTATCTTCTATCGGTTCCGCTTCATAAACATTAATGACATGGCGGAAGGTGGAGTAGGGGAATTTGAAGTATCACTTCAGACATAGATTCTTCACTCATTTAACTGAACAGTAATTAAGCAAAGTTGAAACTCTATTTGGAGCCCAAACCTCTTCTAACTCACTATATTCTGAAGCATCACTCGTTGATTAAAGTTCACCGATCGATAACACAGAGCCTCGAGGTTCATCCTCGAGTGCCGCCAGCAGCCACAACTGTAGTCTAGGCAGACACCATTACCAGCGAATACAGGATCAATGAGAGAGTCTTTCTTGTCTTTGCTGATATGCCATGTACGCTGAAATATCTGCGCACTAGAGGGAAGCGTGTTGCGTTTCAGCTTACTTACGGGGTTTCGATTACGAAAAACGGTCCATGTTCTAAAATACAGTACGTGCAGCATGCCAACCTATGCGAACGATTGCTACTATTGAGCTAATCGGCATTGACCCAGATTGTGACGCTGCGTAATCGCAAAGCCTATTCTGGGGTTTAACGAGCTTCATTCTGACCACTAACACAACGGTTGTACTGTAAAAAGTAACTTCTTAAATACTATGCTCTTTATCATGGATGTTGACCACCTTTATAAATTCAAATAGATACTATGAAAAACGTATACGAACAAATATTTCTTGTACTCTTTTGGTAGCAGATTAGGCTTTCTTTAAAATTTGTATGTAAAGAAAGGGTATCCCTAGGTTAAAGACCAATTTTCTAATTGTGAGCTTTGTAAAATTATGAGGTGATCGTTCATAATACATCGTATCCGTTAATTTTTTGATGCTGCAATATTTTGTGATAACTATGTGACTTCTTCCTCAAACTGTAGGCAAAAACGTAATTTCCCTTAAACAGGATGTGCACAGTGCACCGTTTGTAAACCTTGAAATTGAGTGTATCAGTTAGTAGATTTCAAAATTTGTCGGCAATTTAGAAAGGTTTTTAAGACCGAAAGATACCCTGTCGCTAAGTACAACCTTGTAAGAAGGCGTACTATGCTACCAAGCGAGTAAAATAAATATTTTTTTTCGTGCATGTTTTAGATAAAATACATTTGAATTTATAAAGGCAGTCAAAATCAACGATAAAAACGCATAGTATTGACTTGGCTGCTTTTTGCAGCACATCCATGTTGCTATTGGTCAGAACGAAGCTCATTAAAAAGCTCACATCCTATCCTGACTGAAATAACTTCAGAGTAGACTACACGATAATGAGTATCATAACCTGAGTCAATGCCGATTAGCGAAAGAGTATCAATCCTTTGCATGTGTGAGCATGTTGCACGAATTCTGGCGTGTACTGTACCAATAATTATTGAGCTGCTTAATCTGAAGCTATTTCGGACACATCAGGGTGCTGGTATTCTAATAAAATCCTTCATGATGGTCTGTCCAAACAACTTGCAATAAACCGGCCTATTGAAGTATCATTATTGTTAAATTGATTTTTTGTGCCTTTGTAAATTTCATTGTGTTTTAGTTAAACAGGAACCAATGTGTTTTGGTAGAAGATTATGTCGTTTTTACAGTTTGTGTGTGTAGAAGGATAAGTTTTCAGTTTCACAAAACACGGTTCCCAGTCCGAAAAGTCTTAAATTTGGTTTTCCGTGGCATGTAAACTTAGGGTTTTCAAGACCACATACTGTACACTTTATTCTGAGGAAAATCGTTTATTCGCTGTGATTTTAAGAAAAGGTCATAGAGGCCTCATGAAGTCATGTGGTGAATGCACACTATGTTGTTTACTTCAAAAGTAGCGCTCATGAATGCAGAAATGCGACGCTTTATGAATAAACAGTTTGTCGTTTTGAGAAAGTCTCATAAATGCGAGCATATTCTAAGACAAGTGATATGTGTTCTTCGAGTAAACCATTTTTAAAAACCGTAATTATTTACATAATTAGCACTTAAAATAATAATGTATGCATTTTATATAAAAGATAGTTAAATTCATAAGTGTAGTGAAAATAAATGCGTAAAATTTACATTACGTAGGCAGTCATTTTTCACGGCATGCTTTGTACGGGCTGCCTGAAATCGGCTTATTTAAAAGTCGGCACTCTGTCCTGATACTATGCTGCTTGCTTTTACAACCCCGTTTTAGTAACTATCCCAAAAAATATATATTTCAATCTTCCGATTAGCATTTATTGGAACAGGCCAGCTACTGTATGCGCTCAAAAATCCTGGATGCCAGGGGTTTTTAAAGACTTCCAACGCTCAAGTGTTTTTCGGGTAGTTTGAGATGAAGACCGGTACACTGCTTCGCTATTGGCACATACCATTTTTCGAACTTTATGCTCTTTGCTCATTCTGCATATTACTAGGGCACATATATCCTGCGACTTTCATCCCCAGGGTCTGTTTCTGCGTACGCGATCCATCTAAACAGTACGTAGTAACGCGCTCGTTTGTAACGCTTTTCGTCACGCAAGCTTCAGTTGGAACGTTTACTCCAATTCCCCAGAGTGCATGATACGCAATTGCTACGGGGAGTCACGTGCTGCTCAAGCATATTTTCACAGTATACAAGATACTCGTAATAAAAGCAAAAATTCTGAGGTCAGCTAGGCAGGTCTTAGGCCTCCTTTTTTAAATAATCTCGCAAATAAGACTGCAATACCTAAAAGAAAATACAGTAAGGGCAAGTAATTAGAATGACTGAATAAGGTTATGTTGGTAGCTTGGGAAATCAGTTAGAATAAGGTTAAGTATAATCAGTATCTAGCCACGAAGATATATAGTTTGGCCTTCCGAATTTACTGTCAGATAAAGAGGCTTCTTCGCAATTGGCAGGTGGCATCTACCTTCGTCAGACACAGCACTCTTGGAGATGAATTAAGGTAAATGTGACGTCTTCTCCGGAGGCTCGCCTTGAGCCTTATTTTTAAAAATTGCTCGATTTTTGGCAACTGTTGTGTGGGTTACTGTTCAGCTACAATGCCCAAACAGTTCACGGTCCCTCCTACTGCCGACTTTTTCGAGGTTTTATCTTATCCCCTAACCTTTTCTCCTTCAGCACTGACTTCGCACGATCGCCAAATAAATGTTTTTATGTAAAATATGCTGTTGATATGGTTGTTGGTCATCCTCTCAAAAGTCAGACATATTTCCAGCTACTGAAAGATGGCTTGAACAATGTCTACGCATGGTCGTAAGCAAAAGGCCATCTACTTAACGAGCAGAAGTCAGCCCAGTGCGTTTTCCCATTGCGATCTCTCCCAGTCCTGAATCCTTACTCATCCTGCCCAATCAGGTACCCCCTTTTCGGTACGTTGGTTTTACTTTGACATCTTATTTTTCATTCACTGTTCATATTAAAACCCTTTATTTTAAAGTTCGTAAACTTTAATATTTTATCCGTCAGGTGCCTTCCTCTTAGACAGCTCAAGCCCGAATACTGTTATTTATAGACCCCGGCATTCTCTTCCTCATTGTCTACTGCTCTGTGGTTACTTTTCCAGCCGTGCTTGAAAAAGCTTCTTCATTTTAAAGCGTATCCCCTCGAATGCTCTCTTCAGCTGCAGGTGTCTCTTATACTTTCTAGTTGATATGATAATACAGCGACACAGTAAAAGGGTCAAGTAATTTGCCGATGGCATTCTCTTTGAATTGGCGACTTCAAAGTCTTCTCATACTAGACACCTCAGCTTCTGACACATGTCCTGCCGTATACCGGCGTATCAGCACCCTGTACTCCCATTCCTAGCAGGCTATCTCCCTGTTAGATGTAGATTTTATGTAAAACTCTAGATTTTTGAGTATTTTATTAAATTATGTCTTGGTCTCAGTGAATAGAGCCATTTGTTCATCTTCAAAAAAAAGGTTATTTATCTCTCTCTTTCCGAACAATG